GATTGGCTCCGCAGAGGAATTGCGGAACGGGCGCTGGGTGGATGGAGGCGACCAAGACTCCAGCAGCCAGTGCGCCACGAACGTGATGGTGGACCATGTTTCTCATGCTGTTAAAAGTTGGTTAGTTTTTATTGGAAATCTTGTTTGCCAAAAATTAAAACCACACATTCGATAAGTGTGTTGGCTTTCTTATCGCTAATTTTTTTTTTAAAATGATGAAAAATTGATGAAGATGTGGCAATTTAGGCCAGGAATATTACTTACACCCGAGGAGTACATATAGCTCAATGAGGATAAAATTTGGTGGAAACCATGTTTTTTAAAGAAATAGTGGCTTATGAGCAATAGTGGCTTTCTCATAAGCATACATCTTTTTTAAGAGTAGAAGAAGAAGACGGAGAAGTTATAATTTAATTATAATAGTCAAATTTGTCTACTTAAAAATAGATTTTTAAATACATTATTGAACTATTAAAAACTGTATCATACATTTTAAATCGAATAAAGTATTTATTGTAAAATGTACTTAAAATTATAATACATTATAAAAAAAAATACGTTTTATATTTTTACAGATCAGTTCCGTAGCCTTGAAATAAAATTATTTGTCAGCATAACTTTAGTGAAAATTATTTATATCCTTACTTATTTATAATACTTCAGTTATCCCCAGGGTAAAAAAAAGGGGGGGCACATTATCTACCTGGCCTGGGCCTCTGCCTGGTTCTGCAAGGCCCTGGCTGCTACTAAATAAATGAAGGAAAGGGATCAAGCTCATGCTCGGCATGCAGGGGGTCGTAGGTTCAATTCCTGGGATCTCCAGGTAGGGCTGGGAGTGGACCCAGTCCAAAACCCTGGAAAGCTGCTGCCAGTTAGCGTAGCCCATACAGAGCTAGATGGACCAATGGTATGACTTGGTATAAGTCAGCTTCCTGTATCTAACATGGCACTCTGTGTTTGTGAGTGAAAGGGTGAATCAGATGTGCCTGGTGTGCTACAGCCCTTGTGTGGTCATTGCCAAGAAAGAAAGCCCTAGAAGCCAAGGCAGAGGAGGAGGAGATGGGGAGGCATCTGCACTGTGCTGACCTCCCTACTGCCTCCACCACCCTCTCTCCTTCCCAGTAAGCAGCAGCAACCCATCTGCCAGGAAGCTGATATGGTGCCCCACCCAGTGAGCTGCTGCTGGGCTTTGGATGGAGCACAGCCCCGGCAGGAGTTGGTGCTGCCAGATAAGTGGGGAAAGAAGGGGAAGGGAACGGGGTGACAAAGAAGGGCTCACAGTATGGTTGGGATCAGAGAGACCTCTGGACCCCATCATACTCCTGATGACATCAATCAACTTGTATAGCAGCAAAAATAATTTATTCGAGATGGGCCAACTCTGAACAGAGCAGTGAAGCAGAGTTTGTTCATCACTAGCTCCCCCATAGCTCAGGAACCAATTCACCCATGTAGCTTCTTATGTGGAAAGGAACCTAGAGAGTTTGTTTTCTTGGCAGAAGCACATCACCTTTATCAGATGTGAACTGCTGGAGCTGGGGTGGGGCAGGGAGAAGAAATATGTGTAAAGGAAAGGGTATTGATTTTTCTGCATATTGAGCTATTATTCCTTTCTCACATCAAAGGGAAAGTAAAAAGTGGCGCAACTGTAAAGGAAGGTTAATTACTGAGAAGATTTAATTCCAGTCTCTTAATTAAAATGGCTGACATACATATCATGGACTCAAGCCCCTGGCAGAGAATATGTCCATTAGAGAAATTATTCCTTGCAGTAGCTTTCCTGCAAAAACAAAGGCAACAGCAATGGTGCCAGACAGGATGTCAGGATACATCTCAGTTCTCCCCACTGTTTCATGCCAGACGGATGGATTTTACTACAAAACCTTGCTTAGTAGCTAATGTCGGTGTTACAAACCGATATATGAAAGCTAGGAGCTAAATGGGACCTTTAACCTAGGTTTTGGGCACAACAACAGAATGTCTAGGCACAATTTTTTTTAATAACAAGAATACAAAGCTGAAAATGAATGAACAGCAGCTAAAATATTATGTTCATTTTTCATATGGTCTAGTCCTTCCCCTGCCCACTCCCCCTAAATTCTTAAGAAGGTCTTTTCTCCAGTCTTCAGAGAGTAGCTGGAAGTAGGGAAGCAGAAAAGGGTCCTCCTTTCCTTCCACTCTGCAGTTTTAATCTGAAATCTTAGGCACAGTACTATGCTCAGAGCTCAGAAACTGCTCACACTAATGAAATCCCCTGTTGCAAAACGTGCCTAGAACAATGGGAGTTTCAAACACTAGCTAGGGTAACGTTTAAATGTTGCTTTTCTCTTCAAACAGTTAACCACACCTTACTGTCAAACAGTATTTTCTACACAGTATTGTTAGGTATCAACAGGCATACAAGAAATAAACAATAGTCTGACCATAGTGTTCTGAGATTTTTCTTACTGGTGCATTGCTCGTTAATAAGCAATTCAAATGAGCCATCAAGGTCAGCTCACACCTACCTGGTGCCAGCCTGATGCTAAGACCAACATTTGCTCTCTTTTTGCATGTGTGTAGGGAGAGAGAGAGTTTTGAATGTCACCAGTGAAAGATAAACAACTTGAGCATTTGAAACTCATTAGAAGGAAGCAGGCTTGAAGAGCTGCAAAAATATGTTCCTATTGTGCTAGGAAATATGTGACCTTCCTATCTATTCATCCTGTACATTTGTGGATGACTCCAGACCAGCGTGGGATTTAGAGCAATGAGGGCAGTCCCCCGGCAAAGGGTGCTCAGCCAAGGGGGTACAAATTCTTCTTCTTCTTCTTCTTCTTCTTCTTCCATAAACCTATATTTATATGGGTACCTATTAAAAGTTGGTGGGGGTGCCAAATTTTGTCCTCACTCAGAACACCATATTACCAAAGTCCACCCTGTCTCCAGTCTGATAGGGGTCTTGACATGGTTAGCCAGATAAGGTTGCCTTATCCTGTGATATGTATATATCAACTTCCTTCCTGTGGTAGCCAAAATTCTTCTTTGATTTGTTCCTACATCGAAGACACACTTCTGTATTTTTGAGATTAGTCTGTCATTACAGAATTAAAGATGTATATTCATTCTGCAGTTCAACTCTAGGAACACATACAGCTAGTTTTAAAAACCATGTTTTTAAAATTAGCATATAATGCAAGAGCACAGTGGGGTGGTGGCAGTTCAGAGATTAACTGATTTATCCGGCATGAGGTCTTTCTAGATGGCACACATGGAATGGACTGAGAAAATTGAAGGTATGCACATGGATGAAATTAATGAACAGCTGGGAGGAGGAATATGTTCCTGCTGCAGCATCTCCAGTGCAACAAAAATAACTGAACCACAGGATCCCCCTTCCAAATTGCAGCTGTGTACAGAAGTCTCCATGGCAACAACAGGAATAACCCCAAGTAGATGCCTACCATTTATCAGAAAGGATCGTACAAAAACATTATCAAAGATGATCAATAAATTATCCTATGATCATGCAACCTGCTTTCAGCAAGTTACCGTATTTTTTGCTCTATAAGACTCACTTTTTCCCTCCTAAAAAGTAAGGGGAAATGTGTGTGCGTCTTATGGAGCGAATGCAGGCTGCGCAGCTATCCCAGAAGCCAGAACAGCAAGAGGAATCGCTGCTTTCGCTGCGCAGCTATCCCTCTTGTTGTTCTGGCTTCTGAGATTCAGAATATTTTTTTTCTTGTTTTCCTCCTTCAAAAACTAGGTGCGTCTTATGTTCTGGTGCGTCTTATAGAGCGAAAAATACGGTATATGCACACAAAAACCCTTTCCTCCTCAGATATCCCAGGAGAACTACTGTGAAAAAGCAAAAAGTTAAACCAAAGCTAGGGAGGGGTGAATCTACAAATTTCTGACACTTTCCTGTAATGTAATTAATTTTCATATGCTACTTTCACTTACATATGCATTTCTGTGCACACCTTACCTTAGTATACACATTTTCATGCACATTACCCAGCAGGGGAACTGCACTGCAAAATTCAGAGAAGTGTGAATTTCAAAGGATGCTTGTGTTTCAGTTTGCATATTGTTTCATAAAGTGCAAAATATATAGGTTCACCTTTAAATGTGAACTGAACTGAATTCCTAATAAAATCTGGAGTTTATAGTCTTCCATAAATGTGATAGAGCCGAACCAATTACATTGCCCTAGTTGTCCTATGCTACTCTAATTTCAGATCATCCTTTAGCATCACTTCTAATGGTCATGTTTTACTTATAAAGTTTTGCATACAATCCACTTATCTTCAGTGGATGATGTCATGCTAAACAATAACTTCAAAATGTGACCTCTACAAATCCATGCTCACATAAAATTCATGAATGTAGTATTACTTTTAAAATGACTGAAAGAAAATCTGTTTGGATTAAAGCAGTCTTCTTCAGCAGCAGCATCTCACATCCATCTTTAGACGCCTCTTCAAATTGTCTCCATCGTTCTCTTTTTGCGTAAGTGGCCATCCCTTTGGTCAGTATAGCTTCAGAACTGCATTGCCCCAATCTAGTCTTGCTTGGTTGTTTAGAACCCAGAGCATGCTAATATAAGACTCTCTCAGCATTATTAAATTCTGACCTCAAAGACCTGGATTTTTTAAAAAGCTCCAGGTCAATTCACTCCTTGCTTTTACAGGTGACCCTTCCAGCAATGTCATCTACGGCCAATTACAATAATAAATTTCATGCTATTGACAACTGCTCACTAAGCTGTGCCCAGCTGTTTCTGTATCAATTTATGTGTCTAGAGCACAAGTAGATTTTCAACCTTCAGGAGGGTTTCAGATTTAACATCTTATTCCAGGCCCTAGGGGTGGGCAAGGAATGGTCTCCTTTCTTCTTAAAATGTCTTTCTTCCCACCCTCCCCTCTCTGAGACAGCATGTGATGTTTACTGTCCCTTATGTGAACTGAACAAGGCCAAAAGACACATTAAATAATTTTAAGCTACAATTTGAAGTATACGTTCCTGGGAATGTGGCTACAACCCTATACCTAGTTATCTAAAAGTAAGCTCAGTGGTACTTACTTCTGAATAAACACATACTGTATAGGTTTGGACTGGTAGGGTCCACTGAAAACAGTGGGGCTTACTTCCATGTTAGTTCTCTTTTCATTATGTGGGCAGAAATGTCCTTGGATCAAGTAAACAGAGGATTTATCTACTTTGCCAAACACTAATTGTAACAATGATGATGATAACTCACCCTGAGGCTATGTCATGGACTAGCTGGATGCAGGAGAGTGGTAGGGGGCAACCCTCAGGGGAAGAAGGCTCAGAGCCAGGGGATTGGTGGTGGGACAATGATGAGTAGTCAGAGGGAGCAGACTGGGAGGAGGAGGTGTTGGAATGCCGGTAACAGCAAATACCATACTTAGGACTGGTGTTACCCAAACCCTGTCATTAGCATCCTGGCTAGTTCTGGGGAGCTACCATTTATATTTCCCGTAATGTCGTGGAGTGAAGCTATATTAGCACATTGTGGGAAATTAAAATGCTCGCCACCTCTGTCACCTGCAGCTGCTGTCTCGTTTCCAATACTGCAAGTCTACTGTGAGTACAACCTCCACATCACAGAGACTACTGTGGAGACCAGTCTGTAACACAAATGTTAAGAGCCACAAACAAAGAGAACAAGTACAAAAGGTGCTCTTATAACCCATGCTGTACACTCCCTGTCTTGGTTAGTATTGCCACAGACTACATTAGGTCTGCTTTTCTTCCTGTGTTAACAAATGCCAGCCATACGCTTGCCACTTAGAGGCGTACAGTGAAAAACATGTGCCTCTTTCTTTGGTGCAGCTGTGTGAGGAAAGAAGAAGGCCAAGCGTCTAGAATCCCGAACAGCACATTCGTAAGGAAATTTGAAAATAATTTGAGTGTTCCACAATTGCTTTGCTGAGACAACAGGAAAAAATGGCAACTAAAGCTCACAGGAGACCCATTTGTTTCATTTGTGTTTACAACTGTTCAGAGTGCTCCACAGCCAAGCCGCGATATTGGAACATAAATTAATTTACTACAATTCTGATGTGAGATGGAAAGATTAATGTAATGTGTATCCAAAGGGAATTCCCACTACATGCTGTTTGCCAGAATCCATAGAAACCAGCCCTTTTCATGCTGTAACACATTGCTGTATTGTGGCTGCTGTGATTCCTTAGCAACAGAGCTACTTTTCTGTACAACCCAGCACATATAATGCATTCCAGACATAAGTAGTAGGGCTTGTAATTTTTGAGTGAAGAGTGGGAGAAGAACAAAAACTGGAGGTCTTTGTTGTATCTTAAATTGTATCCTTCCCCTGAGTATATTGGAGGTGGAGACTTACACAGTACCCAAAAAGAAGACACAGATTTGAGGGGGTGGAAGCATATTCTAATTTAGACAAATTTAGAAATAACTGTTATAATTTAAACAGAAATACAGGGCATAGCTGTGAAGGCTGTAAACAAGTGATCTGTATAGCAGCTCAGCCTGTTGATGGGCAACTTCCAGACCCCTTCTCTCCCTTCTTATCATTAGGCAAAATGAGGCAACCACCTCAGGCAGCAAGTGTTGGGAAGGGGTTAGCATCCCCCTCTATTTGAGGACTGAGATTTGTGGACCATGCAGCCTGTCTTGTACCCAGTTCTCCAAACTCCCCTGCTTCCCTCAGTTTCTGTGGAGGACGCTATTTCGTTGCCCACATTGACTTTTTCTGGGGAATGGGATCACCATCTTGTCTTCTGCATCAGGCAGCAGAACATCCTGGGCTGACCCTGCTTCTTCCAGTTTTGTTTTGTTTTAACTGGTTGTGGACCAGACAGTCATTCAAACAGAGGATCCCTTCAATGAGAGGGATCACTTCTGTAAAGTAGACCTATGGTCGCTGTACTCATGCTTAGGAAGAAAGGTGGGTCACAAAGGCATTTAATGAATACAGTGGTACCTCGCAAGACGAATGCCTCGCAAGACGAAAAACTCGCAAGACGAAAGAGTTTTTCGTTTTTTGAGTTGCTTCGCAAGACGAATTTCCCTATGGGCTTGCTTCGCAAACCGGCAACGTCTTGCAAGTTTGTTTCCTTTTTCTTAAAACCGTTAATACCCAGGGTGCATTGCTTGAAGAAGTGCAGTTGCGACTTGACCTCGAGGAGCAACTCATAGCACGCGGTGTGGTAGCCTTTTTTGAGGTTTTTGAGGTGTGGTAGTCTTTTTTGATTTTCAATGCATTCCTATGGGAAACCGTGCTTCGCAAGACGAAAAATTCGCAAGACGAAAAAACTCGCAGAACGAATTAATTTCGTCTTGCGAGGCACCACTGTAAAAGTAATTCAAAAAATAAATACCTATTAAAAACCACAGCTACTTTGGAAGGACAAACACTGCACAACAACACTGTTCTCATCTGTCTCTTGAAAGTGTACAATGCATTCTTCAGAACTGGGCTGCCACTACTGAGAAAAAAAATTAATCGGAGGAAGGGAACCTATGACAGCCAGCATGACAAAGGTCAGGAATGATAATAATCATAGTGCAACAACATTTGGAGGGTCACAGGTTCCCAGTCCCTGTTCTGCTACCACCACATGCCAACAGGAGCTGATGGAAGTAATGGGAAAGCAACATTATTCTATATTAGCCATTTAACATTTGGTGTGTTTCAAAGGAATAACCTATTCAGTATCTTGGCATCTTTTCTTAACTGCCTCTTCTCATTTACTAAAAGTTATTAATGAGCCATCTCAAAACCCAGGTAAAATGTGCCACTGGGGAATTCTCTAAATAGAAAAAAAGCATTCAGTCTTCTCCACCAATGTGTTTTTTTACAGCATAAGCTGAGGAATGAATGATACTACCATGTGCTACCCATACATTCTATGTGACATACCTTTTATCACTTGACCGCCACAGCACTTTACTAAATCCCAGTCCCTTGTAAAAGGGTTGACTTTTCAGTGGAATAATAGCTGGCTATATAAGAGGGAATATACTTTGCTGAACCATGCAGTCTAATTTCAGAAAGCAGTAAACATTTGAAACCCAGACCTCAAAATCCTTTAATCTGACAGCTGTGAGTCACACATGTTTATAAAGAATATTTAGGTGCTGAGATTGCTCTATTCAAACAACAATAATATAAAACTGCTGTTTAAGTAAATCATTAAAACAATGTGAAATACAAGCACACAAATATGCATGCAAAGGCAAAGAGAATATTAAACCAGCAATTGTACTAGTGCAATATTCCTTTATAGCATTTCCTTCCCCAGACAATTCATGCTATGTCAAGCCAGGATTGCAGTAACTATCAGTAAAATAAGACCTGACAAACCCATCCAAAAGCCAGGTTTCAAATGGCTCTTTGCCACAGAAAGATGGCCTTACAGTGAGTGAGCATGCTGTGTGAATCCATCTTATTCAGATGCAGCACAAGAGAGACTCAATGGAACAGGGTGCCTCTGTTTTCCCAATACATTGCAAATATCATATCCATAACAGTGATCTAGTCAAAGGCTGATCCTTATTTAGTCAAAACAGCACAATCCATGCACAAGAGGAAGATGCCAGCATGTTCTGGGGGAACACAAAGTTCGTAAATGTACAAAAAATAAAAGCTTTTCATTAAAAAAAAAAACTAATTGGAGGGAATCCCCAAAACATCCAAATGAGGACTGAACATGCTCAGTGGGCACAGAATGCTGACTATTGTGAGAATAGAATATTCTTCTGAACAGGTGCATTTTAATACTGCCACATTTTGCATTGTTTGTACAACCCTTATACATATAACACTTGTATAGAAATACAAATATGGATTTGTCAGTCTTCTACACTGTTATCTTTTAGATGCCAATTAAAAACTTTCCTATTTATCCAAACTTTTGGTGAACTGATATGCAGCTGATACTACTATCTGTATTATTCTTTATCGATTATTTTGCTTACATTATAAACCATCCTGGAGGCCTATTCTTGGCACTGCGGTGGCTTATACACAGTTTGTAAGTATATGTAGCAGCAAGTCTACATACACTTACCTGAAAGTAAGTCTCATTGAATCCAGTTACTTCTAGGATTGCCCTGTAAACAAATTAGTGATTGCTACCAACTCTCTCAATATGTTTGCTGATAGGACAATTAGTCATTGCAGACAAACAAGCTTCAGCTTCTTTTCGATGTCTCAAAGTACATATAAAAGATAGTAACACACATACACAAGGAAATTCGTTCAGAACTGAAAACAAAGGCTATTTGAACCTAGAGACAATTTCACACTCTATTTTTTTTCATCCCAGGGCTCCCAGCTATAATGTAGCCATCCAAACCACTTCCAGGATCCTCTATCCTGAAACCACAATCTTTTCAAGGGAGGCTTTGATCTAACTGTGGCTGGCTAAGTAGTTTTACGTATTAAAGAATTAACAATGATGCTGTTCATCTTCCTCCCTTCTAAGTCTGCACTCCTGAGCATCAAACGTTATCTCCTTGACAAGTGGCACCATGGTTATTCAGGGCATCATAATAGAACAGTCTGCCATTAATTCAGGAGGTAAGGCTGCAGTACAAATCCTACCAGCAAACAGAAAAGCCAGCCAATAGCCATCAAGCTAGCTCTCTGACTTGTCAGGGGAAATAAGAGCCATCACTAAATTTCCAAGCAAGCAGACAAGATGTTGCTTAGCATTAGGCTGAGACAGAATTAAACGCTTTAAGAGATAGAAAATCTGAATGAAGCCCATCATCTGTTTATAACTGTACCATTTCTAAGTTGCATTACCTCATAGCGCTAAGTGGAATTACTAGAATGCCAACCAAACGTCTTTTCATTTGCAACAAAATACAATAGCAGCATAGGGCTGGCTCCCTACCTGTGATTCCTGGCAGCTGAATGTGTGAACTGACTCCATGGGAAAGAGTTAAACTTGAGGTGAAAGTTCTAGCTAAGGTTTGATATCCATGATGGCTCATTCACATTGGTTGCAGTCATCATGTCATTAATTTGCATGTGCACCCACAGTCCATTCTTAGAGGCTTTCTTTACATTTAGGGACAGAGGGTGACATCTAGTTAACTCCACCTGTTTGTGCAATGGAAATCCACATGCGTTACAGGATTTTCAGTTTATCTTATTCTTTCCTCCAGTCCCCCTCTGCACTCCCCCAAATGTGCTCCAAATTGTCCCTCATCTCTCTGCAAAAGATCTTTGGGGTGCAGGCTTCTGTAGAGAGGAGGGGAGGGAGGAGTAACCCCACTGCATGAGTGAACTCCTGCTTGTGCTATGTTGCATCTCATCCTGTAGATATAAAAGGATTCCCCAGATATCCTTGCCTTTTAAGCCAGAATTTCAAGCCTGCAAAGGCTGTCTTTCCAACAACCATTGCAATGTATTTTGAGTAGAGGTAGCCTATGCAGGTCAGTCAGCAAGAAGAAATACTCCATGGCAATTGTATTGGACCTTAGAAAACAAAATTAATTGATGAAAGCCAGGAATAGGAAAACTGTGTCCTGTAGTCCAGGCAATTCTGTCCCCTGATATGCCGTCACTCCCATGGACCCATGTAATTCTTCTGGCTGGCTGACCTGTACAGGCTACCTCTACCCAAAATATATTGGATTTTTCATTTCTCTCACCTTCTGTCCAATGAGCTCAACACTACACACATGGTTCTCTCCCCCACTCCCATTTTTATTCTCAAAACAACCATGTGAGGTGGGTTAGACTAAGACAGTGACTTCCCCAGGGTTACCCAGGGAGATTTGTGGATGAGTGAGGAGTTGGACATGGGTCTCCCCAGTCTTAGTCCATATCACACTGGCCCCTGTTAATTAAAAATGAAGTAACTTGTGACAAGACTAAAATGATTAAACTCTGTATTGATTGGCTAAAAGATTTAACTGGGATCAAGCATATTTCTACAAAGAAAACAAAACAATCTTCTCATTTTTTAAAACGCAGTTACAGTTGCCCAAAATTGCCCTGGTACATGACAGCATCATTTGTTGTACAGAGCTGCAGCAGGAAAATCAGAAGGATTTAAAAAAACACAAAAGCAAAACTAGGCCATTCTTTGCTCAAGGCATGCTCTAAAAAAAAAGTAGTACATGTTTTGCGTGGAAAATTCTGTTTTAAAAACATTTCATGGCAGGGTTTCATCCCTTTTACTTGCTTCACTTTTCAGCATTAAGGTAGAAAATGGGGGTTATTTTTGACAGCATGCCCATTAATCAAAGGGTCTGTGAAGCCCGGAACATATTTTAGCTGATCATTACCAGAATGTCTTTGCTAGCTGAGGATCAAATTAGAGCCTAAACCATTTTTTTTCATCCTGGATGTCAGCAGTGAAAAGCCCATGCTTTTTCAGATTAGTACAGCTATATCCAATAACACCAGTTTGACACAGAACATAAGACCCACTTCAGTCTCAGTTCAGGCCTGGTTTGGGGACTGAATCAGCCTTGGTTACCCTGAGATATGACCTTTATTAAGAGAGGGACCATCTCAATGGCTTTTGATGCTACTGACTATATACGCCTAGATCAAATGTGTGGGATAGGTATTGGATGCACCATATTATGGTGGCATAACTCTTACCTGCATGGCTGAGTAAAGGACCCCTGGATGGTTAAGTCCAGTCAGAGGCAACTATGGGGTGTGGCGCTCATCTCACTTCAGGCCGAGGGAGCCAGTGTTTGTCCACCTACAACTTTCTGGCTCATGTGGCCAGCATGACTCAACAGCTACTGGTGCACGGAGGACCGTGACAAGTGCCAGAGTGCATGGAAATACAGGGCACTATTTTGTCCCCATTGCTATTTAACATCTGCATGAAGCCACTGGGAGCAATCATGAGGAGTTCCAGAGCACAGTGTCATCAGTACACACTTGACATACAGCTTTGCTTCCCCATAAGATCTAATCGGGGTGGATGTGCAAGAACTGGACCAGAATAGACTGCTGATGAGGCAGGTGGTTGTCAGAACAGGACAGCTCTGCTAAAATATCTGTATTGGCTACCCACATGCTACCAGGCCACATTAAGGTTTTTGTATTACTACTCCTTACATCCCAGTCTGATCATGGAGATCATCTGGAGAAGCATCATTGGTTGTTCCCCAAGCCTGACTGGCTTCAACTAGAAGTGGGACACTTTGTGTCACCAGCCCCATGCTGTGGAACACTTTTACAGCAGAGATTCAGAAGGCATCCTTGCTACTGACATCCCTAGAAGACTTTTTTCTTTTATGCTGACAGGCCTATTCCGCTTTTTTCCCCTCCCCAACATGAGCCAATCATTTTTATAATCATTTTGTATAGTTTTATGTATCTTATGTTTTATTGCATTTGTAGAAACTGTTTTACACCACTTTGATATTTTATGAGTGGTGTGTGTGTGTGTGTGTGAAAATAAGATGCTGCCACATACTGAGTAAGATAATCAGGCAATCACTTTCAGCATTGTCTACACTGACTGGCAGTGGCTCTCCAGGGTTTCAGGCAAGAGTCTCTGACACAGACCTATCTGGAAGTTCTGGGGATTGAACATGGGATCTTTTGCCTGCAAAATAGATGCTCTACCACGGAGTTACGGTCTGCAGGAGCAGGCATTGCAAAAAGAAGAAAAGAAAAGCACATTTTAATGGGAATGGGATGGCAGAGGATACACACAACAGCAGTACAAAGGACAAATTCCATGTATGCCAGCAGCTAAGGTGCACAGTGAGGTAGCACAATTGGAGAGCATATATAGTGTCATCATGTCACATCTGAACTGGTTTGATTGCCAGGTTGCTAGAAGCTGGTGTTGGGGAAAATGCAGCAGAACAGTCTAAAAGGATTTCTTTTCCAAGCCAGTGACTGGAAATGACAGATGGATCACTGAAGAAATACAAACATTCCCTCGATGGCTCCCTTTACTAAAAATTAGGATGCAGCTTGAAGCAGTTACAGGAGGGAGCATGATAGTCTCACTGGAAAAACTGAGAAGGGCACAGTTTTATTATTATTATTCAGAACTTGGAGCATCATTATAGTGAACTGCTTTTGCATATCCAACTAAACAATGATACACAGAACAGGAAATAAAAGGAATTCAATGACTGTCAGCATATTCCTATCCCTTTTTACTTAGAAGTGTGTCCCACTGAGTTAATTAGAACTTACACCCTCATACATATAGTAAGGTCTGCCACCTCTGAATATTAATATTCAGTTAAAGTTAACTAACCCCAAATGGCTTGCCAGCCATTTGGTATTTAATACAGTGCCCCAATTGGGGTCTTAAAGGTCCCAGAAGACAACCAGCATATATCACATACTATAAGAAATCAACGACACAAATGCTGCTGCTTCTGTTCATGAGGACTGTACTATCTGAAAGCCACAGTAAAAGTTATGGAGTTGGACAAGGAAGGGACAGGGGTGTTCCACGTTAAAATCCCTACACAGCCACAAAGGTAACTGTTAAAAAGGAACGTATTGGCTACTCATATGCTACCAGGTACCTAAAGGTATATAATGAAGGCGCCAGGCGAATTTCCCTGGAGAGAGCATTCGACAGACAGGGAGCCACTCATGAAGGGTGCCCTGATCATCCACAGTCAGAACATGAAACCAGGTTGCCCCGTTTTCTTCTTGATCTTGGAGTCTCCAAGGCAAAAGTCGCAGTAATTGTTGAGCAAGGCCAAACCATCCAGACCTTTCTTCGATCTCTGCTCCTCAGATTTCTGCGATACAGGTGTGGGGGGCTTACTTGTCTTCCCCCTCTTCCTCAGTAGGTGGGAGTGCACATAGTGGTAACTCAGCCCAGTACAGTTCTTGTAACACTTCCCATAGATGCCAGAGGCATACGGTTGTCTCCCAAAATGGCTACATCCAGCTTTTTCCAGGCACTCCCGACTCCCTTGCCCTTGGCTTTGCCTTTGCCTCGGCATTTTGGCATGTCTTCTTCATAGTCCTCATCATCTAATAAATAATCAGGTTCCAGGTTCCTTTTCTTTGTGCGGCTATTGGCAACAGGAATCTCGCCAAGGCTGTCTTCGTCAGTATGAGGGTCGGGCAGACTGCGCTCCTCAAGAGAGTCCGTCCTCAAAAGGGCCTCCAGGCTGCTGCCATCCTGAAAGATCACACCCTCTTTCTTTAGGGTCTGCACAGTGTCTGGTTTAATGGAATGAAAGGGAAGCCTTGGATCCTCAGGAGGGTGAGCGCGACATTTTTTCCACCCAAGCTGGGTAGGAATAGAGCTGGCCAGATGCCAAACCTGGCCCCCCGTGCCGCTTCTCCATCCAGATGTAGCAGTTACTCTGTGCCACTCCAGTCTGCGAGTCCAGAAATGGCAATCAAATACTTCCCTCAGCGCACAGTCGGGCACTGTAGTTGTGGCACTGCTCCATCGTGTCCTTATAATATTGTTCGCCAAGGAGCTTCACCACATTCTGTACCACCGCTGCCATTTTCCCCTCGCCTTTTCTTTGCCCTGCTCCCAAGGGCAAGACAACCAGAAGATCTACATTGGGAAGCTTGCCTTTGCTGACACTGCAAAGGACTTTATTCAGGCATATTTGTATGCTGCCTTGAAGGCCTAAGTGGTGAAAAGTGAGGTATAAATGTTAAGTAACTATTAAATAATGAGTGCAAGGACAAATGAATGAATGAATATTACTGCCTTTGTAGATAATTAAGCTTTCAAAGTGGTGACTGTGGTAGCTCTTTCTGGACTGGTGACTGTGAGACACTGTCTCCTGAATCTGATTCTAGCCTTTACTGATTGTTCCCCAGCCTCCCTCTAATGAATGGACAGAACCACTAATTCCTGTTTCTTCCTAATTTTAATCTGTCTCCATCAGTTGCCATGCTTTGAACCAACAAGAAAATTCACGTACAGCTTGCAAAACCATGATTAATTGATTATGCGAAGTAAGTGTTCCTTCTGTCATTGGCAGATATAGCAGGGCTTGTCTCAGAATTCAGAAGCCATTAAGGGAGAAGTTTTATTGAAGCTGTCACACTGCAATATTCCAGAGGGTCTTTCCTAAACTGCCATACAAAGCAAACAATAATAAAAACCAAAAAGATTGAGAGAGAGCTCAGCTATCACTGAACAAGGATTTTGCCTATTTTGTTTTCCATTGCAATTCACATAGAACACAAAGGAAGGTGCTTGGAGAAAGGCAAACAGTCTCTCTCTCTCTCTCTCTCTCTCTCTCTCTCTCTGTGTGTGTGTGTGTGTCCATCCCCTCTTGGTAGTTGATGGACTAGTCCCTTGGAACCACATGTGACAGTCAAGTGAAAAATACAGCAGCAATGAAGCAGCTTTAGTTTACACTAAGGATTTTATTAGCAGCTTAGCAGCCCCAGAGCTAAACTCTGATGGAACAGACAATCTGTCTTCCTTGATGTTTCTTGGGAGCAAAGGAAACAGCAGGGGAACACATAAATCTAAGCAAGATTCATAAATAACTGGAGCCTCAGCCATAGGTCAAAGGGAGGGGTCATCAAAAGAATCTTTTCTAAAGTAAAAACCAAGCCCAGGTGTTAATCCTAATTGCACTAAATTAGACTGTCACAATCTGAGCATATGCTTGTAAACCTTTTGGGAACGGGGAAATGTCTCCTATTTTGTGGTCGCTATTCACCCTGAGCCCTTGAGACCAGGCTGACTCAAAATCAAGACCAGCCAACACAGTTCTGTATGTATGGAATTTAGGCCTGGGTGGGCCACTCTATTTCTAGTCTATTATCAGTTTCTCAAGTGTTCAATAATAGGTCTGTTTGGGTTGGGGGCTTTCCAACGAGCAGTATAGAACAATATGGAGTCTTGGTGGACTGTTTAATTCCCCCCCCCCAGCTACAATTGTAATTCCAGAGAATTCAAATTACAATACAGTAACATACAACTTTAAAAACAAGCAAAAAAATAAAGTTAATAATCAGTATGAATACTCATTGCAATGGATGTGCCATCTTCAACCACAAATCCACAGACAGGCCGCGGACCACGTGAATGAAGGTTATGGACCACTGGGAACCCCTGATACAGAGGCATAAATCCTCAGCTCTTCCTTACCCAGAACTTTATTACCATTTGATGGTATGAAAAATCTAAAGCTCGGTAACAAAAATAAGCATGAATCTGAGGGGTATGTTGTTGAGACCATCGTGGAACTTAAGAAGACTTCCTAAACTTCACAGTGAGCTTGAAAATTAACTGAGTCAGATCTGCCAGAGGATATAATAGTGAAAATAATGTTTAAAAAAGCAGTATAAGGTGGTACTTCAGTTTTTGAACGTAATCCGTTCCGGAAGACCGTTGGAGTTCTGAAACATTCGAAAACCAAAAACTCAATACGGAAGCTGTGTTTCATGTTCAACTTCCAAGGCATGTTCAAAAACTGAAGCATTTACTTCCAGGTTTACGGTGTTCAAAAACTGAAATGTTCATCAACGGAGACGTTCGAAAACCGAGGTACCACTGTATTAGGGGAAATCATGCAGGTTAGGCAAAACTGCATTGAAATATGTCTATTAGGATAGATTTGCACTAAGGTGCTGATGGATTTTCATGAGGACTATGTTTTTAATGCAAACCGGTTAGGAAATGTGGAAAACTGAACTTAAGATTGGAAAAATGAGAAACCGAGAGAAAATATGGGGTTGAATTGCCTGGTACAAGATAAGCAAAGAGGCTGAAATTGTCTCTTCAACCACTACCTTTCCACATACAATGGAAAATGAGGGGAAGATAATGTGCAGGCCAGGTTATTGCCATGTGGTGAAGAGTAGAGAAGAGATTTCTGATGTTTCTAGCAAGGGAGAGAAGTCAATCAGGGCTCCATTCCTTCCTCTGTGGTCTGAGGTTTTCAGCAGCTGGGATGGTTGTCACTATTTTCCCTTTCCCCCTTGCTAGAAATTTCAGCAAAATGTTTTATTACTTGCCATAAGCAAAATAAGATACCTAGTGCTTCTGCTAAGAGGGGAGCATAGGCTGTGTCTGCTGGTAAATAAAAATGCTTCATGAGCCTTTGTGTGTTTTCCTTAATTCCACTGCATCTTCTTGGCATCCAGAAATCTATTTTAATCATCAGTATGTTCCAGCACACACCAGTATATCTAAGCGTTGGTGGCTGGCAGATACATTGCATTGTATTGGTCTTTCCTTCCTTCAATAATTTTATTAGCACATAAACAAAACCATTATGAAAATATTGGTCGTTCAAGTATGATTATACACTCCCTAAAGACACTCTCTGGCAAGGTAGTGTAGCGTCTGTGCTCTGAGTGAATTCAGTGGGAATTGAATATGCTTCTTATTAGGCTGCTGTTAAGAAACAAACTACTCAGAGAATCACTTGGTTAATTAACTTAAGCACTGGGGATAATAAAAAGCTTCATTCAACCATTTTGAATGTACTCTTTCATGCACATTGCAACACTCTCCTCTTATTAGGGCTAAAGTTGAGGGAGGCAAAAAATCAATAAGTAATGGGCTGGGGATGGGGAGGGAAATGGGAGCAACATGTATGATCCTTGATGGTGCAAAGAGAGTCATGTGTTGCACAGAAGCTCTTGTGAATGTGGCACATGCTAGAAAAGAGAATGGTGGCAACTGCACAGTCCAGTAGCACAAGGGAAAGGAAGGGAACTGTAGTACACAAACTGCACATGTAAGCAAGACGTTTGGCAAGGCTCCTCCAAGATTATCTGGAAGGGCTAACTAGACGATACTTGGTTCAGACAGGGATTGATGCTTTAAGTAACTTTCATTGGGAATGAAACCCCAGATTTGTTCCAACCCTATGATTATAAAGTCCTTGTACAGCAAGCCCTCTTAATCCATGTGCAGCTTTACACATCACTTCACGCTAGAGCTAGCACACAAAATAAAAGATCTCCTGAACAGGTTGCCCCATCCTTGTACCAGAAACCTTAATCCATTCTTACCAGTCGGTGCAGCCATAATTAAATCTGCCAGCTTTGTACTTGCCTTTGTTATGGAAAATTGCCAGGGAGATTACAATAGCCACAACACAACAACAGCAAAATTAAATTATCCATTGTTTGGGTCTCCTTTGAGCACACCCGCGCTATACTTGCCCAGACTGCAATGCAGAGAAAGAGCTTTTAGTACGACAACTTACTCCAGCGTGATGAAAGGCACTGAAGTTTCATTACACACAAACAAGCAAATCCCTGCTTAGGATTCTGTACAGTGCATTGTTCTTTGCTGCTGTCACTACTTTCCGCCCCGGTGGGGTGCAGTTCCTGGCAGCTCTAAGAAGCAGACACTATAATTATTACATGTGAGTGAATAAGCGGCATTAACTGTTGAAGCATTGCCCTCAAGAGCAATGCAGGATGGCTGAATGGGTCTGGAAAAAGATGTGAAATGGTTTATTTACAGGCTTGTTGAAGTTAAGAATTTACAGCAACTCAGTGCCAAGTTGGTTGATTTAACCTGCATCAGACAGATTGAAAACATCTGAGAACTGGTGTAGGAATGATTCAAATTGCTTTGGAAGGGGCACAATTTATCTCAGTAACCTCTGCACTTGAGCATAAAGGATGGCTGCATGTTGGACTGTCCTAGCTCAGGATAAACAAATCTGTCTATTTACCCATGATTCTATTCTTTAAAAACAAAAACAAAAAACCTTCTCAAAATAGCATATTTAAATGCCTATTTTGATAAATTAAAACTGCCTCCCAACATTTGGTGAACTGCAAAATCTGATTGATGGCTAGGTTCTGATCCACACATTAGTCGGAGAGGTACAGATCAGGTCATTCTGTAGAAGAGTTCACATAGGTGAAATTCCTCAAGCTCCCCTGGTGCTAGCCTGCCCTTTCCTTTTCTCTCGCTTCCCCTCCGCTGTGTTTGTCCATTCCAACTGGCACAAACAATGATTTATTTTGGTAAGCCTTATTCCCAGCTGGGTGATTTCTCATGCAATTCCAAAGGCTGACACAGTGGTCTTGTACTGTATTTTGTGATTATAATTTCTTTTAGAGATTAAAAGGACGATCTGCGCTACATTAAAAAACAACAGCCTAACCTGTCCACAGTGTGAATACTTCAGGAGCGCACAGCCCTGTTTCTTCCATATTGGGTTTGTTCGTATATACAGCTGCCCTTGCTCAAGCCACCATGATCATGCAAAGCAGAGCAGTGCCACCCCTCAAGTGAAGGCTCCAAAGGCCACAAATGGAAATTCTGGGTCAGTGCCACCAGCAAGCTCTGTGTGCTGCCCAAATACTTATACAGGGACCGGGTTCATCTGAATTTGATTTTAGGGGTGGCAGAAAGCCAGTGTAGTTTTATTTCTCCAGCAACCAAAAAGGCAGAGAAAGAAAGCCATGCTGACAAAGCTCTGGGACAGCCTTTTTAGCAAAGAATAGCTTCTATGTCAGTGCACGGTTTATTTCTAATCTAGCAATAGTTTAGAGACATTTAGGATCAGGTAGAAAGCAATGGAAAGCCTTCAAAACAAGAGCATGAAGGCTGAAGCTGTACGTAGACAAGGTGCTAGCAACATGGTCACTCAGTGAACAACTGTGCTATGGATAGCATGGGAATCTGAATTAATCCCTTGTGGATCTTCCAAAATGATGGCAATAAATCATCCATCCATCTACAGTGTGTGAATACTAAAACACAATTAAGGGGAAGGGAAGGAAAGAGATTGTACTCAACTCAGGGCCTTCTATAGTAACACCTGCTGACTCACAGCAGGCGTGCCATTTTTGCGGGACCATGGGAGCTGAGCCCCTCCCCCCAATTTTCACTGAGGGAGCTGGGCACCCTCAATATTCTGCAGCCTGTTGGGCCCTCCCACAGCTGCAACTAGGGCCCATCAGGCCTTTCGGAGGGTGCAACAGCCCCACCAAGCCTCATCCCATCGCATGATTTCACATACACACATTGCCCCTCCCAATGTTGGGCAGAACGCAGCACGCCTGCACAGGAGAACAACTGGGAGATAAATCGCCCAACAAACAAGTCAACTGGCTTAATACCCAGCTGATCTGTTATGTTATTTCTAACAAAGATTCTGGAGGAAGCAAGCAGAGGATCTCATGCCATTGGAGGCCTCGGTTTTGGCCAAGGAAGATGAATTGAGGGCTTTGGTTTCAAAGATATTAACAAAAGATGTCACAGGAAAGATTGCCATCCTTAGGGCAGTTTGGGAAAGAGATGCAGGGAAGGAAATTCAATTTCCTAGTCAAAGAGTGAAACTGCTAGAAAGTGAAATTGCTGCAATCTGTCTCCATATACCAGAGAAAATACCTTAAAAGCAATCCACATATGGTATTATATATACCCCAGTGAGATTAACATATATGCTAGTGTTGGAGGAGTTGTGGTCAGGAGATCATTTATATTTAACTGCAGTTACACAGGCAGTGAGGTTTGGAGATAAGCAACTCAAGGAAATGAGCACTGTAAATGGGCAAACAACTGTTGAAAACTGGTATTACATTAATGGTTTTACTTAAAGCGGGATGGTAGAGTATTTAAGGACTCAATTAGATTCATGATAGTTGATGACAGACCTTTGGTAACAACCAAGGAAGAAAAAATAGGACTCCTACTTTAAATGTCTGGAACAGTAAACTTTGGGAAATCACCACTGTAGAGAAGCTTACATATCAAACCCATGGTCAAGAGACAAGTGAAACAGGACACATTTTCTCTCCTGAATGGAGTTACTTTATTTTTCATACTAATAAGTATACTTTGAGCTTTGTATGCCACAATTTGGAAAAAATAATGATGATTCAAATACCAGGAGAATTAACCTCAGTTGATGTTTTTCATGATGTCCTAAATCCCTTTGTTTAATGAATATGATTATGGTGATTGTTTTCTTCTGCACTGGACCCGTAATAAGAAAACAACAACAACATTATGTTACTTCAGCTGTCACAACATTGTAGTTGTTAAGCCTTTTTTTTTTTTGGTCTGGGGTTTTATTTGTTTATATCAAAACATTTTGAAAAAAGGGTATGAAGTATGAAAGCTGTAACAATAAAAATTAAAATATTTGTGTGTTTGTTTTTGTTGCCAAAAGTAACAGGGACAAATTTTAGAAAGAGAGAGCAAACAAAAGTTGCTTGGTGACTCATCATACCAACTCAAACAGAATTTCCCTGGTTCAGGAAAGCTGAACCATAGGGTCACAACTAGGAAACTTCTCTGCCACTAAGAAGAAATAAAAAAATAACAACACAAGGAAATATCCACCTCTTTTGCATCATATAAACAAATCCTTTCTCCCCCTAAAACCCAGATCCATACATGGGATGTTTTGCTGCACATTTTGGTGATCACTTGGTGGCTGAGAAGACACAGCTACTCTGCATTCTTATAGAACAAATTTTGCCACTTGCTCCCTATCCGATTGCCAGCTAGACACAAGCTTATAATACATATATGTTATGCTGTCAAACCATCAGATGGAAATGGACCGGCCATAAACTCATCACAGTATCACATGCGGCAGTTCAAACAGAATGGGCCTTTTCTGAGGTGAAGTCAGAACGCCCATTACCACCATGCACCCAATAGTCCCTGCTTTTCTGTCATAAAGAAGTTCATTGGCCGTTCTCCAAGAGAAAGCCAAGCCTGCAGATTCAGCTTCGAGAAGTAGATCATGTGCTATAGGCTATGAAAACAGCTGGCAACTAAACATACTTACATAATGTTTAGTAAAGCAATATAACATTCTCAAAGGGAGGAACTAGATTTAAAACAACACACCATGAAATTTTGAAAATCAAGACACCAAAGCAGAGGGGAAAACTGATACCAACATACTATTAAAATAAGCCTGCGTGGTGCACGGTTCAAAGTGACAAATTCCTGACTTGATAATGATAATAATAATTTATTTGTACACTGCCCATCTGACTGGATTGTCCCAACCACTCTGGGCGGCTTCCAGCATATATAAAAACATAGTAAAACATTAAACCTTTAAAAGCTTCCCTATACAGGGCTGCCTTCAGATGTTTCCTAAATGTTATATAATTACTCCTCTCCTTAACATCTGATGGGAGGGCATTCCACAGGGTGGGAGCCACTACTGAGAAGGCCCTGTAAAAGGAAGCTGAATTCAAAGCTTAGGGGTCACTATTGTAAAATATGTTTTAGCAGTAGCGGGCAGAAGGCTTTTCAGTAACCACTCTCAAAGAGTAGGAAGGTAGGCAAGGTAGAAGGCACTCTCCCAAGTGTCCCAGACCCAGGTTATAAAAGGTTTTAAATATAGGTACCAACACCTTGAATTGGGCCTGGGGGTAGGGGTGGGGGGACACAGGCAACTCATGGAGGTAATGCAAAATAGTTTTTGTGTGTTATATGCTGCTGAATTTTGAACAGCATTTTCTGAACTACACTCAAGAATAGCACCATGTAGAGTACTTTACAGTAGTCCAATGGGGAGGTTACCAGAGCATGCACAACAGTGAAAAGATCCCTTTTCCCAGGAAGGGTAGTAGGCAGATCACCCAAAACTAATAATGGTGACAATGTGTTCAAGCCAAATGTGGACAATGGGTTCAAGAGCTAGATGGAAAACTTAAAAGTAATTTTCAACATGATTGAACTCTTATTTCAAATTATAAAGATGAACTTGAGAAAACTGTGGTGGCAGACCCCTAATTATACTGATGCATTTTCTTGCATTAATCTTGAATAATTCTCTTTGAGAAAAAAACAGTTTCAGAACATCTTATTTAAAAGGACTTTAAAAAATCTGTAATGAGATGCCCACACTTGCTTGCACCCAAGGCAGAAACCTTTAATAAAGGTCAATTAAGTGGACTCCTCATATTACATATTTTGTCGATTTAATTAAGCTCTATATTCTGGTTGGTTTCTGTAAAAAACAAAACAAAACAAAAAAAACCCTTAAACTTTTCTGTGAAAGAAGAGGATAATATAAGGCTCTATTTTTACTTGACAACAAGAATCCAGTGCTTTTATCCAGATCTTTTCATGATACCTTCATATTCTAGCAATGCTCGATCTGAATGACTCATTTGATATATAAGCAGACAAACAATAGCAACATCGAGCTTTTGCAGCCTTTCAAGGCAGACAGCTTCAACCCAAGCAAACAGAACGAATGACATAATGGGGGTAAGAATTAAAATTTTCTTTATAGGTTTTCTTATCCTACACATGCTCAGCTTCTCTCAACAAGAATTTGATGGCATTATTAAAAAATCGCAGGTGCCTGCAGAAAGCAGGCGATGAATGTCTCAAGGCAGCACTTACAGCTTTTGTAGCTGAGCCCAAATGAGCTTCTCGGCGAGGTGGTTGCATCTCTGAGCAATAAAGCTGGCAGTAGGTTTGATGTAACAAACAACAAGACTGGGAAATCTCCTAGGCAATTCATGCTTAATTTAAGAATTTGGACTGGAGGCCCAACACATCTGCGTCCTTCAATTTAGAACTATAAAGACACTATAAAGAGGCACTCTGAAGAAATGAATAAATATTCTTTTAGGAATGAATAATAGGGCTGCCTGGTGTCCTGTACCCAACATCTTGATTTCTGGGAAATCACTAGATATTGTTAGTGTCACAATAGACAGCAATTGGCAGAGCAGAAGTTTGACAAGGCTTGGAGGCAGAAATTGCTACAATAATTAATGCCACCTGCAGTGCTAGATGCAAAGATGTTTTCTGAGCTTCTGAAGGGGCAGGTGCCATTTTCCAGTTGAGAACTAGTAATATTGGAGAGCTGGCATGGTATAGTGCCCTCCTGGTGTTGTTGGGCTCCAACTCCCATCAGTCTTAGGCATTGCTCAGGGTTGACAGGAGTTCTAGTCTAACAGCATCTACATGGCTTGTGGAGGCCTGAGCCCCAATCCCTTCTCTGTAATATTAATTGCCTTAGGCAACTCACTGTCTCTCATGCAGGCCTAGAGGACCATAACTATCAGTAAAGCATGCCACATTTTAAAGGCCTATTTAAGTACCGTATTTTTCGCTCTATAAGACGCACCAGACCACAATACGCACCTAATTTTTGGAGGAGGAAAACAAGAAAAAAAATTATTCTGAATCTCAGAAGCCTGAACAGCAAAAGGGATCACTGCGCAGTGAAAGCAGCAATCCCTCTTGCTGTTCTGGCTTCTGGGATAGCTGCGCAGCCTGCATTCACTCCATAAGACGCACACACATTCCCCCTTACTTTTTAGGAGGGAAAAAGTGAGTCTTATAGAGCAAAAATACGGTAGAGTCTAATTAATTAATTAATTAATTAAGTTTTCTACATCCCTCCTCCACACACACACCTTGATGAAAAACCCCAATCTATTCTAAGAACTGAATGTCAACAATTCCCAAGCTATCCGGAGCTACTCATAGGAACAGCAACGTACCAATGAAGATATTTTCCCCGTATTGGGGGCCATCTGAATCTCAGATTATCCAAGCAGGAGACACAGCTGAATCATTACCACTATCTGGTTATTGCTCACTTGACAATAAAACTAAAAAAAAAAGGTTCTCCTCTGATTTTATTTCCAGTCACCCTGGCCTCAAAGGATTGTGGATGCTGAATGGTGGGGGATTCGTGACAGACAAAGGGAAATATTTCTTCACACACGCCATAATTAAAAAATTGAACATGTTACCACAGAATGTGGTGATGGCCACCGAGTCATCTGGAAGTTTTTTCCACAGCATTGTGGGGAACACACCACCTCCTAGATTTCTGCCTGTCACTTTGCTGTTAAAGGCATAGAATTCCTAGCTGGGAAAAAGGTTGGGGTCCTCCATCTATTTGCCTGTAGTCTCCGAACACAACTTCCCTTATGGGAACTTCTTCTCACAAGCTGGCCTGAAGAAAAAGGCTGCAAAATGGAACTGCATTGCAAAATATAAATCTTGTCTATAGCCTGACATTTTGCATGAGCTTCATGTGGAGAAAACGTCAACATCAGGGTGCCTTGGCAAGGTTCAGGACAACAGCTCATTAAACTTACTGGCACTGGTATACAACCTACTCAAACGAGGGACAAGAGTAGTATGTGGTGCATAATTATTTCATTATTTATGTGAGATTGAAATGGATGTGTTTCCTAGAGTAAGGGAGGTTTCTCTATGGCTGTATTAGTTAACTGTAAAGTCACAAAGGACTGTGAACCATTTTCATTTCATTTTCATTTTAATATAAATCTACCTGGGAACTGTAACTTGCTAAGGGTGCTAGGAGCTGTAGTTCTGAAGTCAGCACCTTAACAATCTTAACAATTACCAGGATTCTCCATGACTGTTAGTAGGAGACTAATGCTTTTACATGTATGGTGTGGGTGTAACCCTTATCTTTCACATGGATTTTTTTTAAAAAAATAAGCTGTGAGGAAAAAAATTGACCTCACTGATCAAATTTTTGGCTTGGACACTGGAATGGAGGGCAGGCAGATAAAACCGCTTTGCAGGTTGGATTCAGCCTCCAGTGAGACATCCCCTTTCTAAGCTATTCCTGTCTGATGCAGGATGGAAGCAATCTGTGCCTGCTCTAGCTGATGAGCCGAATACCTCTGACAGCCAGCCTACAGAAAGATACTTCTCTTAGTTTTCTATATGGAGTCCCTGCTGAAGCCAAGCTCAAGCCTTTTGCCAGCTTTGGGTTTTGAAGCCTTGCAAGGTGACAGACTTAGCCTGAAGACATGCTACTCAAGTCAGCTCCAATAACCAAAGCAGGACTATAAATAGACCATTATGTCCATTGGCAGGTTTCCATGCTAAGAGATGCAAGAGATGGTTGTGGGCAAATCAATAGGTGGCACTCTTCCCTCAGAATATCTTAACAGTGTAGCACCGTGACAAAGGTATTAAGCTACAAGAGGTTCCTTCCAGCCTTTGGAAATAGAATTGTTATGTTTGGTCAGGTAACCTTCTGAGCAGCTTTTCATGGGAGAACATCCCTGGCTTGATAAAAACATTAATCTACCCAGGCGGATTCATGTGAATGCAGTAACATTATTTACTTGACACCTACGAAGGGCACATTATATGTTTTCTGTGTGAACATCCTCTTCATGTAGAAAAATGTATGCCTTTCATAAGTGTCTGAAGTGCAGTGCAAGTGTTTTTTACACTACAACTCTATGGATCAAGTAGCTGCATAGTAGTGGTAGAAAGACTACAGTAGTACCTCGGGTTAAGTACTTAATTCGTTCCAGAGGTCCGTTCTTAACCTGAAACTGTTCTTAACCTGAAGCACCACTTTGGCTAATGGGGCCTCCTGCTGCCACCGTGCTGCCGGAGCACGATTTCTGTTCTCATCCTGAAGCAAAGTTCTTAACCCGAGGTACTATTTCTGGGTTAGTGGAGTCTGTAACCTGAAGCACATGTAACCCGAGGTACCACTGTACTCAGGCTGCACTTGATGTTACACTGCCAGGCATATCCTACGTGAAGAGTGCTTCTTCTGTGTGAAACAGGCCTTATTTACTTTGCCACTTGTGAATTGCCCCAAAAGAGAAAATGCATTGCCCCAAAAAAGAGGGCACGTATTTGTAGTATGTTTGCATGTGCTCATTCATACGTATAAATGCAACCCAGTCAGATAGGCGGGATGTAAGTAATATGTTGTTGTTGTTTAGTATTATTACCTTCGCCCTAAAATTCTGGGGCAGCAGAATTTCAGATAGATCACTACTTGATTCCCACTAACAGAAGCATATACTTGTTTTCTCTCCAAATCTGGAAAGGTAAATATAGATTAAGAAAAGATGACCACATTTCAAGCACCCTTGTTTCTCCACCCACATGAATGAGTGTGCAAATTACTGCTATAAACTCTGTATGGGGTTGTATGCCCTGGCCTACAGCTGGAATAGCATTTGTTCATTCATCTTCAGATGGCGGCCAACTTAGCAGTACATTACCCAAACACAGCAAAATCTGCACTGGTTTTCTAATGCCTTGCAAGCATCATTTGAGATTTTAGGTGTTTACAGGTTTTTACCTAGAAATTTGTTTTATTAGCTACATTACATCCTGATCTTTTCCAGGGCCCAATTTAAAGTGCTAGTTTTAACAGATCAAACCCTAATCAGCTTAGGACCAGATTACCTGAAAGATTGCCCCCACCTGCATATAACTTCCTGAACATTAAGATCGTCTTTAGATGCCCTGTTCTAGGTTCACATGCCAAGCAAAGTTGACCAGGTGGTTATCAAGAAGAGGGCCTTTTCAGTGGTGGCACCTCAACTATGGAGAAACCTCCCTGGAGGTTTGCCTGGCACCTTCTATATGGTATTTTCAGCTTTAAGTGAAGTCTTTATGCATTTAAGTTTTTTGTTTTAAATCTGGGCTGGCAAGAATTTTGAGTTGTGCTTATTTTGTTTATTTGTGTTGACTACACAACACGCACAATGCCCTGGTCATAACACAGCCTGCTGGAAGAAAAGCAGTATCATCAATCTGGGAGAGCAATATGTTTTCCTCAATAGCCTAAGCATTCATATGCTACTTTTTCCCTCATTCCATCAATCTGTTCATTGCTTGCACAAATGATACTTCAACCTGAAAAAGAAAAAGAAAATCAAAACGAAGGATTCAGTCTAAACGGGAAAAGGGGTGGGGGGGTAAAACAAACAGATATGTATGAAAAACTCCCCTTCAAGTAAAGCAAATAGCTATTTTAGCTCTTAGAAGCATTGTATTACACATTCCATCATAAGCTTGATTCACTGTGCAAAACAATCATTACTCCTTAGAGAAAGGTGCCAAGAGGTTAGCACCCAGTGGAGATAAAACCCAAGGAATGAATTTATTAGAGATTTCTCCCAGCCTGCATATTGCCACTTTATGGCATGCCTAGTGAATTACACAACAGTGCTGCATTGAACTACCAACTACTCTTTGGTGGAATAAGTATACAATGGTGCAGTTGGGTAATTTTAGACCCTGGACTTAATGTTTCTGCAGGGTTCTTTACATAGTAACTCATACTTTACTTAACTCTAAAATGTGATAAGCCAGACCTGGAGAATTGGGGGGGGGGGGGCTCCTGCTCCATCTGCTGAGTGGAGCTCTGGACTTTAGGACAAAAGTCCAGGACTGAAAGTACCATTTAAGTATACCAAAAGCATATAGGCAACCTTGTGGCATAATCAAGAATCATAATGAAAAAGCAATGAAGCAATGTTTGTTGATGCTTGTAATGGTTCTAGGGGTTGCTCGTGAGTAAATCGGCGCCACACCTGGCTGGGTTGCCTGAGTGAACCTTTTCTGTCCCGACAGCCACTCGCTCGTGGCTGTCTCAATCGCTGGCAGAATCCGTCAGTGGGCGTTTCTTGAACTTCTTCCAGCAAATAAGTTCTTTGACGCCTAGTCTCCACCTAGTCTCCCTGCGCGGAAGCCTTCTGCGCAGGGAGGGTGTGGGCAGCGGAGGACCGTGCTCTCCCCGCTGGTCCCCGGCGAAGAGTCATGGAGCCACCTCGCCGATTCCCCCATCTGCCCCCCTTCTCCACTGGTGCTACACTGATTTCCTTCCCCAGAAGATGTGCTGCTTCTCTCCCTCCTGGGACGCTCTCCGGAATCCCTCTGGAGCCCTCCCTCTCCCCCTGGCTCCGATGGCAGTTCCCTGACAATGCTGTTGTCTGCAGGGTAGCCATGTGGCTAATACAGTGCAAACAACAGCAGTATGGCACAGTAGTTTAATGTGAAAAGTCAAAGTTCTAATATTTCTCTAAGTAAGAACACCCTTTTTAGAAAGTTATTCCTTCAATGTCATTCTACCTACAAGATAAGGGACCTGTGTTCAGTGAATCACTCCAAGTGTTCACCTATTAAAAATGAGGCCAGTTACAAAGCATTGCCCTCACCCAGAACACTTGCACTGGATTTTTGATCAGCAAAAAGATCAAGGAAATGAGGGGTGCCTTTTGACACTGCTAAAAATGTTCATGAAATGAACTCCCCTCCCCCTTTGGGCTCAGTCTGAATTAAAAGTAATTAATGCAGTTTGGGTGAATTGAAGTACTGCAATAATTAATTCATCTAGCTTGTTGACATTTAGAAGTTATTCTGAATATATATCTTTGTTGAAAGTGATGTTAAAGAGCCTTAACCACTGGCTTTTGTTTTTTTAATAGAAACAGATGAAATCTTTGATTTGTCTCTGGAGTGCAATTTGTGAAGAAAAGCAGACACCCAGGGTTAATAACTGCGTAACTGCGGTGTCTGGTATTTAAAGAATTGATTTTGAACTATTTTTATTTGACAGCAAACTATAAGAGTATTCTATTTAAGTTACGCAACACAGTACAAAATGAACTTAAGACAATGCACTGCTCACGTCTAAGACTTTCACATTTAGTGATAAACACGTAGGCCTTGATCCAGAGATCCTTACCCACCCAGTAGCAGACGAAACATATGTTGGTGCATGTCAGCCATTACGCCTTGCCAAATGGATGGATGTCAACTTTGGGTGAGAAACAGGGAAGTTGCAAACAGTATTCTGCTCCCACCCAGGACTTTCCAAGAGGCAACTGACAATCTGGGCAGCAGACGTGCTTTTGATTCAGCTCTTATCAAACTATGAGTGAACATGTCTTCAGGGATGGCTCAGTCGGTACAGCAGGACAGTCTTTATCTCAGGATCATGGATTCGAGCCCCACAACGGACAAAAGATTCCTGCATTGCAGGGGGTTGGACTACATGATCATTGTGGTGCCTTCCAACTCCACAATTCTATGATTCTCTATCCAAGCCTAGAAGTTGTCTCCCTTCTCCAAGGAACATGTGTTAACATCCATGCCTCTGAACAAGAAGGAGATCCGCACAGAGAGGCTCTTCCCATCCATTCCATGTATGGACTGCCCTTGTTGGTTTACAATGGCCATATTTGCATTTAAGTAATGTTTCCACATGGACTGCAAGAAGATCAAACCTATCCATTCTTAAGGAAATCAGCCCTGAGTGCTCACTGGAAGGACAGATCGTGAAGCTGAGGCTCCAGCACTTTGGCCACCTCATGAGAAGATAAGACTCCCTGGAAAAGACCCTGATGTTGGGAAAGATTGAGGGCACAAGGAGAAGGGGACAACAGAGGACAAGATGGTTGGACAGTGTTCTTGAAGCTACCAACATGAGTTTGACCAAACTGCGGAAGGCAGTGAAAGACAGGAGGACCTGGCGTGCTCTGGTCCATGGGGTCACGAAGAGTCGGACACGACTAAACGACTAAACAACAACAACAAATGTTTCCACAATCTTCCTTCGAAACTCTGTTCTTTCTGATCTATAGAATTCTGGGCACTATGATTTACTAAGGGTTGCTGGGAATTGTAACTGTGAGGGGTAAACTGTAGTGCCCAGAATTCTTCGAGGGAGGAAATGTGTTTCAAATGTGCTTTAAAGGTATTGTGTGCATACAGCCTAGAAGTACAATAAAAAAGGAAAGTCCTATTGAGGCCTGCTCTTGCTGAACTATCGCCTGTCAGCAGCTGTTCCATCAGACTGCCTCAGTGGGAAAGATAGGAAGCAGGACAATCCAGGGGCAGGAGACTACCTCCATCAGGTGCCTCATGCCCCTGGACTGTTTCTATGCCAGCTGGTCATTATAAGAACTCTTTAAAAATCAGTGCTTGAGTTTGTTTTCATCCGCTCTTCCCTCTCTGTCTCCTTTTCCCTGTGTGTCATGCTTTTTAGATTGCAAACCTGCAGGCAAGGGTCACCTTGTTTTAATTGATTGTGTGCAAGCTACCCTTGGAGCCTTTTTGGCTGAAGAATGGGGTACAAATGGTTGAAATAAATAAAAAGTAAGCCAAATACTCCCATGTAAGTATCTACAGAATTGCAGCCACAACTGGAGTAAGTCAATGGTGCTTTTTCTGAGTAGATATCTAAAGGATTGCTCTGTTAAAATATCCTATCTGCAATCGGTTAACTCCTGTAATCATTATATCAGTTTGGGAAAGCGTAATTAGTGAAGCATATATAAATAAAATAAAACAAATTAAGCCATGTAAAGACCAAAGTAAATGTTAAAATCTTCAATGTAGCAGTTTTAGATTTGATTTTCATTTTATATTATGGAAATTATTTTTAGATTATGTGTTAAATAATTTGCTTAAGCCTGTCAGAATTTGTTCAAACCAGTAAACAATTTTCTTTAAGGGAGTTTGATCTTCATAGATTCAGAACAGATCTTTTCATTTAATAGTGTACCCTTGCTAAGGCTTTGGATTTTTATTTTTTTTTAAAAAAAAGTCTGGTATGTAAAATTAACATCTTGGTGGTTTTATTTATTGCTGGTAAAATTAAAGACAAATCTATTTGCAAAACAGGTCACAAAGATACAATCAAACACTACTTACACTATGTTATGGTGCTTCTTTTTCTTCTCCCTCTTTAGATCTGCTCACATACTTTATTACGCCTCTGCTTCTCAAAAATGCAGTAAATTCTTTGCTGGGGATTTAAATCTCAGCTAAACAAACTTAACCGGTGCTGAGCTGACTTAGCAACCCTTGGAGCAGATCACAGCCATTCACCAGTTTAAGCTTGGAATGCAAGACATGCAAGGCTGTGTTTTATTTAATTTAAACACTTCTGCTCCTAATCTGGAACAGAACAAAAAAGATGTTCCCAGTGGAGAGCTCCTCTGCCAAGCCTCATGCAATTC